TTCATATTTTTTTAAGTTTAGCCTTAACAATTAAAAAAGAGTGTTATAAAAGGATATTTAAGTGACAAGATTTAGGTTGATGATATGATGGTGAAGTTAGCCGATTTTGGCCTGGCTTAAAATATTTTTGGGAGGTTAGACAAATAATTGTATTTAGATATTCTATTATTATTTTGGTTGAAATATTGCATCTGTTTTGCGAGAGTTTGGCGATGTGAGAACCGATTGTTATAATTAGCGGTGTTTTTCCTAATGTTTTGAACAATATTAGTTCGGCTTTGTTTCTACCTAGGATATTTTCTGATCGATGGTGTGTTCATGTGCGTTATAATAGCTATATATGGGGATGGATCTTTTGAGAATACCAATTCGCGGGTCTATTCTCTCCTCGTTTATACCATCGTTTTTCATTGACTAAATATCTATACGCTAGTATCGGGCACCTAAGACACACTGTTACTTTGTGCATCGTAGTGTTTTACGATATATATTAAAATACTGCTAATTTTTTTTCTTAATTTAGAATATGTTAATTCTATTATTCTTTTACCATGGGCTTCATCTCGCATACTACTAGAAAACAACAAGCCCCCATTAATATATATATATATATTGGTTTTCTACAATTTAATTCATAAATATTTAAATTTATTAAATATATATATATATATTTTTTTATCTATTATATTTTATAATGATAACACCATAATTTGTATAAATAAAATTCTTAAATCAATAACCATATAATTCATATAAATTAATATAAAAAAAATCTAAATATATTTATTTAAAAAAAATAAATATTTATAATATAAAATTAACATAATTTAATATAAATAATATATTCATATTTACCTTACAAAAATCCACATTAAATAACCAAATTGCCATATATATAATAAAAACAACAATAATATTCAAAACCAACAATAAACTATACATATATAAATATAAAATACAATAAAAATAAAAACAACATATATAACAAAAACATACAATATATCACCACATCATAAAATCTCACATAACACAATAAAACCATTTAACACAAAATACATTAAATATAATAAACCATAATTCCATCCAACAAATAAATAAATAAATTATATATCACATTTTTCCGAAACCTTAACAATTTAACAAAATAAAATATTCACACCAAACAAATACATAAAAAATATAATTCATAATAATCATTTAAATAAAAATACATAAATATATTTCATAAAATATTCGTAAAACCCTTATCTGTAATCAAAAAATATTTTATATAAATATAACAAATTTCCAATATTAATAACAATATTTATAAAACTAATTAATATATATCAAAAACACTATCATAAATCAACCATAATACAAAATATATATAACATAATATATAATTACATAAATCAATATATACATAAACGCCCAACCCACCAACATCAAACATACCCAATACAATCGCACACCAAAAAGATCAACAAAACAACCAAACCTAAAATCTAAAAATACAAAACCCCATCGCCTTTAAAACCATTAAACCATTTTTTAAACAACAATTTTATTACTCCCAAAATCTCATCCCATTCTAATCAATATTTAATTAAACCAATATATTTTTTGTCCAAAATATATCTCAAAAAATAATCCCATTCCTTCAAACAATTTCTTTTTCAAAAATACAATATATATATATATATTATATTTCATATATATTTCTAACAAATAAATCAAGATTTATATTCATATTCTACTAAAACAACCTCATTATATAACACAACTTACATATTCAAAATACCCTACTCACACACAACAACATACACAATTCAATACTAACACCAAACATCCAATTAACATAAACAATATTCACAATAAACCAAAAACAACAACCACATATATATATATAACACATCAAACAAACAACACATATCAAAACACACACACACACAAAATATACACACCACAAACACAACAAAAACATACAATATATCACAACATCATAAATCTCACTAACACAATAAAACCATATAGCAAAAAATACATATTACACATAGTAAATCATAATTCCATCCTTCTTATTATATATTTAAATTATAAAACCCATTTTATCCAAAACGTAAAATAAAACCACAACTTAAGGATCTATCAAAATACAATATTTACACCGGGAATTGTACATAGAGGGATATAATTTATAAGAATGATGACAAAATATAATTCGAGAATATATTTCGCACAAACAAAAAAGCTTTTCCAATATTAATTACACTATCAATCCACCAATACTGAATTTCATATGCGCAATCACAAAAACCTTATCTATAATCAAAACATATAATTCGATATTTCATTCGGCTTTTATACAAAAATGGCAATTTTCCTATAATAATAATAACAATAAAATCAATAAAAATAAATAAAATAAAATACTAAAAACATAAAAATTGTGAGAATAATAACTTATAATATAATAATATATATATATATAATTCAAGAATATCAATTAATATAACTCGGAAATATAATTACTATAAATCGAAATTCCATCCATACAAAAACATACACAATATATATACATATATATATATATGTATAAACATATTAAACAAAACACCTGGCCTAAAATAATATATTCGCAAACACAACGCAACACAACGCCGCTCGTCCCCCGCAAAAGACACAACAAAAAACACCGCACCACGCCGCACCTAAAAGCGCCATCACGAATCGAACGTGACGTGCAACGCAGCCCAAAGCGAAGCGCAAAACAATATATACATGCAAATGAAGAAACCAACGCAAGAATACAAGCTCCCAATACACCAATATCATACATACGTACGCGTCGCCTGCCCAATCGCACGCCAAAAGATCGAAAAATCATTAAGCAACAACAATATCGCCGATATTGAATACTCGAAAATCGCCAAGAATTTCGGAATTATACTCAAGACATTTTGGATTCGGCGACCTATCCCCTAATAACAACAAATGTAAACAAAAAGTAACCACACCACCAAAACGACCAAATATTATAAATATATAAGCTTATTAACAGCAAACCTAAAATGCGACCCGAAGCATGGCGAAGGGTTCTTTCGCTTGGATTCATGGGAGTCATTGCAAAGAATCAAAGTCATTGCACAGAGTCATCATCATCCTGAGAGTCTTTGCAAAGAGTTTTGATGATTGCGCAGAATTATCACCATCAGAGCCATTGCGCTGAGTCATTCAGAGTCATAGCAGAGAGTCACTTGGGAATGCTCATGAGAGTTCTCACTCATGGCGAGTTTCAAATTCCTTTCTTCTTAGGGCGGCGGGTTAGGGCCGACAGCACTCTACGAAAATCAACCCTCTGGGGAGATTCTTGTGGTCGAGGTCAAAACACTGGGGACTTTTTACGGTCCCTGATCTGCGCGAGCGACGTGTGGTCGAGGTCAAAAAACTGAGGACTTTTTACGATCTCTGCGGTGCGCGAGCGACCCTCTGCGGAGATTCGTGTGGTCGAGGTCAAAAACTGTGGACATTTTACGATCTCTGATCTGCGCGAGCGACCCTCTGCGGAGATTCGTGTGGTCGAGGTCACAAAACTGAGGACTTTTTACGATTTCTGCAGTGTGCGAGCGACCCTCTCGTTGTTCGAGGTCAAAAAACTGAGTTTTTTTTGCGATTTTGACATTCCAGGATGAACCCTCTGCGGGGATCGGCGTGGTCGATGTGCGAAAACTGCGATTTTTCATTCTGAATATGCTCGCGCGACCCTCTGCGTGGATCGTGCGTGTTGAAGCGCTCTTGCTGTGGCGCCGTGCGAATTTGTTGCTTGCGAAGCGCTCTTTGGAAGTTGTCGCGTGGTTTGTGCGGCTGCTCTCGGAGTCGCGCGGTCACGGGGTCGATCCCCGCCTGGTCCGTGGAAGCTTTTCTAGACAAAATCGCAACTTTTAAGTGCAATCAGAAAACGAGTATGCGAAGCACTTCCCGAAAGCTCCGGCAGCACTTGCGCAGAGCAACTTGCACAGAGCGCTGCCGCTCACAGAGCACTTGCACATAGCAGCTAGCGCAGGGCAACTTGGGCAGACCAAAAGTCAAGTCTTCCGTTGGGAGAATTATTATCATGAGAGTCATTGCACAGAGTCATCATGACAGCCATTGCATAGGGTCCAAGAGTCATTGAACGGAGTCATCACGAGAGTCATTGCCCAGAATCATCATGAGAGTCCTTGCGAGAGTCATTGCATAGAGTGATCACACAAGAGTCATTGCACAGAGTCATCATGACAGCCATTGCATAGAGTCATCAAGTCATCATGACAGCCATTGCATAGAGTCATCACACAAGAGTCATTGAACGGAGTCATCACGAGAGTCATTGCACAGAGTCATCGTGAGAGTCATTGCGCAGAATCACCATGAGAGTCATTGCGCAGAATCATCATGAGAGTCATTGCACAGAGTCATCATGAGAGTCACTTGCGTTGTAGTCACTGTTTTGCTCGAGGGCGGTATATGTGTCATCTTTGACGTGCTTGGCAAACTCGTGTGAGGAGGGGTCCGATAGGTGGCAAGATAGCAGGAACAAGGTTAGTTGCTGTGTGTTGCTCGTGACCACATCGAGCAAACAACTTGCGAGGGAATGATCGCCGGGCTGTGATGCTTTCGGGCCAACCGTGGTCTAGTTTTATTTTCCAAAGATCTCATCACATTCTAATCAACATTTAATCCCATTTCCACTCAAAAACTCTGGACCTCCCATTTTCATGGACATTGCCGGGCAATACAAGAGATGCGTCTACGTCGAACACAGCCAAGAAAACCACGCAGGGACGCCCCAGAAATGCTTTACACACATACGTACCGCCATTGGGCTTCGTCACCTGGCATAGCTTCCTTCAGCAGCTTTCAATCAAGCAGCTTGAGCGTAGTCATGGAATGGCAATTGCAAGAGCGATGCGAGACTGCCGGACAGGACATGCCAAGCTTTGGCGGCCTTTTTTGCCGTGCGAATACTTCCCGACGCGTCACAATCTCGCAACCACAGCGCTTGCCTGCAGGGCGTGCAATGGTTTGACTTCCAAGTCAAGGTGCCCAGCTGGGAAACAAAAGAGGTAGCCAAGACGCATTCACCCCTTTTTCAACCCCGGGCACAAAGCTGCGCAGGCTCCATCGCTTGGGCAGTTGCAACGTTGGAGTATCTGAAGAAAATGCACAAAATTGTTGCTTTCTGGTTATCTCGGTACTGCACTGTAACCAGGAATGGGAACTCAATGTTGGATCACTTCAACGTGCTCAAAGCCGCCGTCCGGAAGTCCGGCCGATGGCAACGCGAAGACCTTGCGCTGAGCTGGGGCTCAGAAACCGACCGGGAGCACCGACTCGATGGATCCCTCACTCGAATTTGCTGGAGACTGGCTTGGGGCCTGAGTTGGGCAAGGCCATCGGCAACCCAACCTGGAGCAAAATTCGGCACCCTCGCAAAATGACGGCCCCGATGCAACGATATGACGAGGCTCCAGAGTCACCCAAAGCATCCACAGTTGTGGATGATGGATCGCTGTCGTAGTTCATAACCGGGTAGCCTCGGATCTCATTCAAGTCCCCTTGAAGCCTTGATACCCTTCCCTACCCCCCAAAATCAAACTTCTGGACTGCTTGAGTAGTATTGCAGCCTCTCGAACAACAATAGATTTTGGCGTCAGCTGTGCTTCAGATGGTACTTACAAATGAATACTAGTCAAAACTGCCTTTTAAACACATGTGAGCCCACTGCACGTTCTTCCCTGTCTGTCCCTTCTCAACGGGGAAAACACGGATAAAATGGAGACCACACAGGGTCCCTTCTGCGGGAGGCACGTGGGCGTTGCGAATTCTGCGCTTAGACCCGGTTGGGAAGTAAACGGCCTGCAGGAATTCGCCCTGAGGCTTGTGGGCCATTGCTTTATGAAGCCGCATGGATTGACGGGGCACCGCGCGAAAAGCAAAGGACTGCTTCCTGCTTCCCTGATGAGCAGCCAATCTATCACAATGGCCTGTGCCATGTGGAAAGGCAAATGTAGAGACACATGTACCTCTAGCAAGCGCCAACCACACATCGTCGAATCGTGTAAAACATCTAAGCTTAAGTCCAAAATGATGCAACCAGCGCTGGCTGCCTCCCGAAAGTGGATCCATAATGATCCATGCGTTTCACTTGGTTCAAGCACAGTTGGGTGATGATTGGGCGCGGACATGTCGACGGACATTCCGAAACTATACTCTGGATAGGGTGGACGACACCTTTCCGTGCGCCAAGTGTTTGGACGAGCTCAACAAAAGGATTCAAGGGATCACGTAACTAAGCCAATTGTGTTAATATATGTTGATATCTTTGCAGGATCATTGAAAGGGTTACCACTATTGAGATATGCGCCTGTGGGAACAAATTGATTTTATGAAAACCGAATGGAGGAGCAAAACCAGTGTGGTACTTGCCAATATGTACCCAGCATTGTCAGTGGCAAGCTGCTATTTTGCCACATAAAGCCAAATGTGCGAGCCTTAACAAACAGGCTTCACAGGAGTCTGGCGGCCCACAGAAACCGAAGGCAAACCTGAAAGCCCCAACAAACATCCCTGAAACGAATACTGGTGATGGCCCCTGGCAGCCGAAAAGCGCTCCACAACTCTTTGTCGCATCTCCTTGTTCCGGAAGTAAAGGTTGGCTGACGCAACCTGGGGCGATTGCCACACTTGAAAGCATAATTGCAGGCTCGTGTCATTGTTCAATCATCTTCAATAACACTTCGCTTCCAAGTCTTCTGGGGAGATGGCCTGACGTCCTGCTTGCGCGATCTCATAGAGTCCTGGGGTTGGCACGGGGCCCAGATTGCAGTGCACATTCCGCATATCATGCGCTCTTGCAGCCTGCACAAAGCTGGTACAGGAGATAGATCGCCCCAATGATGGCGACCTCAAAGTCTGACCAGGGTCTCGAAAGGAAGGCTTCTTTGGAGCCACCTTGTGCGTTCGACTAAGAGGGCAACAATGATTAAAATGATGAAGAAGCCGTCCTGACAGGCACTCAATTGGCACCGCTTGGGGCACTGTGCCCCAAGCAAGGCTATGAACACATCACCCGGCCATGCGCATGATTGCAGTGCTTGGTTGCTAGGTGACTAGACCGGCCAGGGGGCACAGCCCAGCCTTGCCATCGAAGTTCCAGCTGTGGTGCAAGCCGCAGAGATTTAGCGACCAAAGGGCCTGGCGAGCGGACTTACCGGAGCCACGTCACGGCGACATGGGCTTCCCTTTGAGTCTCGTGGATCGCCAATGATCCAAAGCAGCAGGCCTGCAGCACAGCCCAACCTGGCGGCAACACACTCAAACTCCTGCTAGTCACGGTTTGATCCTGAAACGGATCATTTTGGCAACTTGTCACAGAACGCTCGTGGCATATCCAGCTCTGATCAGCCCCAACTCATCAGGTGTTTGACCGTCTGGAGAAGACTCCGACCTCCAGCCAAAACAAAGGTGCTCAATGTTCCGACCTGCCAGTCGGGTACAGGAACAAATTTGCGACGCATCTGGGCGAAACCCTCCGCAACATCCGCATCTGAATTCTTCGTCCTTGTCAGGAGTGGAGCGCTTGACTTATTCCGTGTAGGGGAGTGCAAACACAAGACATTTTTGGCAACACTGTTCTGTTTCATACTTTGGGGCACATTCGTGCATTTTCCCTGGAACGTGCAAAGGGCCCTCGAACAACCAACTACTTCGGGCCGGCGGGATAAACTTGTTGGTTTATGAGTGGTGTATTGGCCTAGTTCTAGTTTTTTGCGTTTGTTTATGTACTTTTTGTGGGGGGGAGGCAGGGGGGAGGGAAGGGGGGTAGAAGCACATGTGTTGCAAACTTGGAGGACCTAATTAGGGCAAAAGGATTGCGTGAGCGAGCCATAAGAAACATGCTCAATAGAACTGTGCCACAGGGCTCAGGCAGTGAGATGGTTCAGGATGACGTTGGATGCAAAGCGCACGTCCTCCACCTTGGCAGCCAACGAGCCATGCCCGGAGTGAAGTACGGAGCTCTGGGAGCCGTGCCCCGAAAAGCCAGGGAGTCAAGAAGCCCAGGAAAGTCCTCAAAAGACAAAGTCGCAAAAAGCCAAAGGCGCCAAATGACCAAAACAGCACGCCAAATGAACTGCCAAGCAACACGAGCGCGAAGAAAAGTCCAATACGAATGGACAAATACTGCACCTGGGCTGCCCAAAGTGCAACACAAGCCTGCGAACGTGAGCAAACATGATGGTTCCGGAAGCAAAGCTTTTTCCGTGGCTCATGGCCCATTGGCAATACATGTAAACCTGCATATCACTACGAAACCTTGGAAGCACTTGACTGCCAGTTCTGAAAGTGCTGGCGCTGGAAGGTCAGCGCTTCCGATTCGCCTCAGAAGCGGTCTGCAGGGCCCTCGTCCTCCGTAAACTCCTCCTCGACTTCATCCATGTCCTCCTGTCAACTCGAACAGTTCCCCGGATCCTTCATCCTTGGCTTGCGGTGGGATGGATTTCTTTTCGAAATGAAACAAGGCAAGCCCGGCGGCAGCCTTTGCATGTTTCCCTCCGGGCGGAGGGAAGAAAGCGGCCTCCAACGCCCGGGGGGAAGAGATACAAGAAACCATGGATCAACGCATGATCCTTCCTTTTGGGATATGGTCCAACCCCCAGATGTCGGCTCTCAAGTGAAAAGAATGGGGATCAACCTTTCGAGTCATTTCGAGTCCCAGGCATTTGTCCCTATCCTCCTCCACTTGCTGGTTGGGCTCCGCAGGCCTCGTGGCTAACCAGTTCTCAACCGACCCAAAGCCAAACCAGTCCGCAAACTCGGACTCAAGCCCGTCTGCAACCAGCTCCATGCCCAAGCGAGTGCTAAAAACCCTTGCTACTTACAATTGCACAAGGGAAGCACGTAGCCACAGGATCACTCTCACTTTGACCAAGGTATGCTGGCTCCTTCACCTCAGTTTGGTGTCCCGCCCCTTGGCCTCTTCGATCCTGTCGCTCGAACATCGACACTCACGCTTTCAATGTTGAGCCCTCATGGCTGGCACCCTCAAACTTTTCATTGAAAAGTACCCTACCCAAACAATTGCCTGGGGCTCCCCCGTTTGCCCAGGGGAAAAGAAAATGGAAATCAATCTGGCATGCTCCTCATCATGCCGAGCGGCACTTGCTTTTCCAGGCCAATGGGCTGCGTCAAGGGTGTCTGGTTTCGGATCGCTTCTAATTGCGCTGCGTAGAGTGCCTCCTCCTACGGCGCAACTGACAGAGCTGGTTGCTTTGCAGTATGTATTGGTGCGGCATATTAAATTGCTTGTCTTGGCTCGAGTCCCTTCATTTTTTTGGTGACCCGAGCTACAGGCAGCGCATTCCACTCTTGGCCCACGCATGCAAGACTTGGAGCAACTTTAAGCCTGGCATTGCGTGATGAAGCAACTCAGGAAAAGGGAAGGGGTGGAAATGCCGTAGGACAAAGAACGCGGCCGCCCTAAAGAAACCCCACTGGATCAGTGTCCTGTGCCAACTGTGCCTCTGTGAGGTGCGGCTGGGGCCGCCAAAGCATATCCAGCGGCGAGCTGCGCCGAAACATTGCCTCAGCTTTGGCAAAGGCAGTCCTACCTGACCATGTCATTCCGTGTCGCTGCGCTGTGTGGCTCAGTGCCAGGCAAATGTGCAAACTGATCAGCGCAAGGCACCGACTCTTGGAATCGCCAGCGTGCCAGGTGTCTAAGAAAGATGTGCCCCATGTTGTGTTTGCCCCGATTCATCTGCGACTTGGTTTTGAAGCCTCATGCGTGAAGCCCTGTCTCGAGCCAGGCAAGTTGGGTTCACTGGCACAGGGCTTGAGCTCACGTGGCACGCGCGGCTAAGGTGTACGCGATCTGCATCCTCAGCAAGCCCAATTTGGACGGAGAAATGGGAAATACATGTCGCAATCGCTGAAATCCGCTAAAACTCTGGCAAGGAGCCACACTTCTCTCTCTGCTCCTGTAGCATTGTCAGGCTCTTTGAGCTTGAACTTCGCCTGAGTCATGGGACCAATCATGGGTTCACCCTATGAGCCATGCGACACATATTCACGGGTCTCGGTCTGTCTCAAAACAGGAGAACCCATCTATCATATATATATATATCGGTTGGATGGTGGTAAAACCAAACAACAATCACCTGGATTCAATGAGAGACATTTGCTTTCCTCTGTGTCGAATACGGCGGTCGAGCCTTGCAAGTGCCGCAGTGCGTAACCTTAGGAAACGAAAGCATCCCAGCCAAGGGTGCTGAGGTGATCCCGCCATGGTTCACCAACACGTGTTCACCAAATAGCGTTTTTGCAAGCATAGAGAAACACGGACACGCTTTCTAGCTTTGGGGCGTGAGTCGTCAGCCTAAAACGAGGCCATTGGTGGAAAGGCCGAGGCCTCGAGGGAGCGCGCTCCCAGAAAGGCCAAGTGGCTGTTCTGGGATCAAAGCCGCCGATGCGCCATCTGTCCAAGCCTTGGACAATGTCACACGCGGAAGCTACGCAGGGTGGCATCTTCACATAGCTTCACCCTTGCTGTGGCTCCAGGCAGCTTCTGTGCACAAACCTGCAGCTGCAAATGTGGCATGTCGCCAATGACATGTCGAGTGACTTCCGAATCGAAGCTTTCTGTACCAACGGGAATTGCTGTTGGCACGCACGATGGCTCACGAAGGCTGTGCCTCAATGCAACGTGGCCCTCGGTGTAGGGCCCTGGCTTTGAGCTTCCACGGCAAAGGCATGGCGCCAGAAGTTCGTCCCCCTCTGCGCATTCGGATTCCAAGCAAATGCGGCAAGTCCTTGGCTGTGGCGGCTGTGGTTAATCTGAGTCCAGCAGAATCTCAGCGCTAAGGGCGCATCCTGGCATCCTCATTCTCCTGATGCCAAAGCAATTGTCGTTGGCACGCGATTGGGGCTGCAATGGGGCTGCAATATGGGGCCAACTTACGGAAAACATAATGGCTTTCTCAAATTTTGGGGACGCCTACAACAAGACCGTTTCATATTTAAACAGGGGATTTCCACTTCGAACCCTCTCTCGGGCTTGCTTTTTTTGATGTCTGTTGCATTCCCCTATTTCAAGCCCTGTTGCAGATCGGATCCCTGCAATTCCTGTGCATCATCCATTGCGCTTTCAGATTCCCGAGGGCCCAAAACGTGCAGGAGTTGTCTGTTTGGTAACTTGCCTCATGGCGTCAAAAGTTGACATGCCAAAAGGGGCTTGTGGGGCTCTTTTGATTGCATGTGAGCCAGTACAGAAGACTGTATCCTTGCTTGAGCCATTGAGCCAGCAAATTCCGAAGGCGGGCAGACGCGTAAGCAACCAATGGACAGGCAGCAAGCTGGCAGTGGCCAAGCCGCGGCCGCACAACACTCATGCGCAACAGCGGTGTGCGGTTTTTTGAGGGAACCTTTTTTTTTCCTTTTAAATGCGGCTTCAAACGGAAACCAACAGGACAACCCCAGTTTTTGGGGGTTTCCAGCCCCCTAAAAAGCACACACCCAGATGTCTAGCCCCGCCTCAGTGAAAGGCGGTGGTCTGACATCTGAAGGGGTCACGATGGTGGTTGCCTCCCGCTTGTGAATCGACTAAGCGACATGCGCAACAGCCACCAATTCTTACCATTGAAGCAACAGCAACAGAGCCATTGAAGCCACAGCTCCCGCATGCAGCAAACACTGTGTGCAGTTGCGCGTCACGATGGCGCAAGCACGGCAACGTGCACACACACACACCAGCAAATACCCAGACAAGGCGAAAAAATGCCAATGCAAACTATGGCCCACTCATCAGGCATTCTCTCAAACAAACCAACTAACGGCAAACTAACAAACAAACGAACGAACGAGCAAGCGAACAAACTGTCAAAAACACACACACAAGCAAAACCAAACCAAGCCAAACCAAGAGAAAAGGGAAGAAACAATCAAAGAAAGAAAGTCTGAAAGAAACAAAAAGCGAGAAAGAAAGGAAGAAAGAACGAAAGAGAATAAATAAAGCAAGAAATACAGACAGAAAGACAGAACGCAAGAAAGCAAGAAAGTCGGAAAGAAAGACGGAAAGAAAGACATCAATCAATCAATAATCATTCAATCAACCAATCAGCAAAATGGATGCAGCACAATTCAAATTAACACACAAATAAAGAACAATCAGAAAGAAAGAACACCAGGAAGCAAGAAAGACACCAGGAAGCAAGAAAGACACCAAGAAGGACAGAAAGAGCGAACGAAATAAATCAACCAAGCAGGAAAAAACATAACCTAAGGATAAATAAACAGATGCACACACAAATCAGGACGAAGAAATGGAAAGAACGAAAGAAATAAAAGCTAAAGAAGGTAATATCGAAAGAAAGAAACAACAACATACATAAAACCATAAATACATAAAGAACATACCTAAACCAATAAGTCAGTGAACAAGCAAACAAATCAAAATAGCAAGAAAGGTAGACATCAACAAATCAATAGCTAAACAAAACAAAATCAATAAGTCGATCCATAATTCAATAAGCAAACAAGCAACCAAAACGAATAACAAAATAAAGAAACAAAGAGCGAACAAAACAAAACAATACATCATTCAACCAGCCAATTAACATACTGGATGCAACATAACCCAGCAAGTGAACAATTAAAGAAAGAAAGAAAGAAAGAAAGACCTCAAGCAAGGCAAGAATAACAGAAATAAATAAAGCAGGAAAGAAGGAAAATAATACGTCAAGAGATTAGTACCTCATGCAACCGACCAATTAACAAAACATGCAAAACAGAACCCAATCCAAAAACAACAAAAAATAAATTAAGCTATAAACTAATACATGGACAACGAAGACAGTAAATAACAAAGTAGATAAAATAAAACTTTATAGAACACAGAAAAAACATCAATAATTCAACAAACAATTAAAACAAGAAACCAAGACAAAGCAAGCATCAATAAACCCATAGGTAAAACCAATAACTAACTAATAAATCAGCAAATGAAGAAACACGTCCACTAATAAATAAACAACAAAACAAAGTGAATACCTAAAGAAATGAACAAATAAAGACATAAACACATACATTCAAATGCCAAGCACGCACCAAGTACCGTTCAGCATGCCCAGCCGTGGGAAATACACTTACAACAGCCCCGAAACAAAAACTGTCAAGTGAAGGGCACTCCGTGCTGAGAGCAAGCAGCTAGAAGCAAACAAAGCACACCAACATGCAAGCAACACTGACATATACACACTCAACTGTATGCATGCATGGGTTTGTTTGTTTTGAGGGTACTGTTTCTTTTTGCAGTTTGAGAGAAACCAAAAGGACAACCAAGCCCTTTTGGGGTACCCTACCCCTATTTTGACATCACTTCGGCCCTTGACATGTTGGTTAAGCGCTGGGCTGACAGTCCTCTGGGCTCAAAGGGCAAGGGTGGCACCTACCCGGCGATCTGAAACGAGCGATACAAGTCTTAAAACCGGCGTTACAGGGTTTGCTTTTTTCGGTAAACCAGCCTCAAAAGGGGCACCCTCAAACAAGACCAATCACCCATGTCCCAACCCTGATTCTGCTCCCACTCGCTACAAAAATTGTCCCTGTTCTTTGCTTGCCAGGCCTCCTTCCCTTCAAACGCATACCTGTACACATCGTCGAAATGGTCGACCTTGGTCGGCTTAACGTGCACCAACAACATGCTGCCTCGCGCTCCCAGTACCTTCAGGCAAGGTGCCTAGGAATCAAACAGAAACAGCTCCCAACGCTGCTTGTTACCCAAGCAGTCAGCCACGTTTCAATCATCTTCTACGTACCCCTTGACCTCCTTTGACGCCCTTTGATGCTGGTGCATTTTGCTTCCAAGCCACGAAATGGGCAGTGATGCCAGCTCGCAGGTACCTCCCCATAACTCTAAGTCCGGATGTCTGGCAAGGGGAAAGCTGCCAATCACGAAATGTGATCCCAATCCCCACTAAAAACACCCTCACAGTGACGAGGGCCACATACACACGCAATCGATTGGGGGCAGCCCATAAGCATCCGAAAAAGGGCACTCTTTGATCTCTACGAACTCGGCCTCATTCTGCCGAGGCCTGAAGCATTCTGCACCCAAATTTCCAGTCGCCCCCTATAGGAGTCTCAAGGAATTTGCGCCACGTTTCCTTCCTTGGATCTGTCCCCCGGAAAGGTGTAAACGCTGGACCTTTTTCCGCGGTCACAAGTAGCCAGCCGCCCGGGAGCTGTGTTTCCTCGAAGCTGCTGAAGTAAAGGCTGAAAGCTTGTCGCACCTCAAGGCACACATCGAAGGGCTGAAGGGTTGGGGCTCACACTGTGACACTTTGACACTCACAAAGAAAGGGCCAAAAAATGCCAAAAACAGGTCTCTCAGCCAGCGACCGCGTCACCCTCGCCCACGCGCAGGCCGGTCAGCGCCAGCTGCCCCGATGTCGCGCAGGCGCGAGCAAGTGCAGGGGCCAGGCCAATCAGCGGCCTGTCGACTCCGCCGATCGGATATAAACCAACTCGAAGCCGACTTGGTTTATGAGATGCCCAGCCTTCAAGGAACATGGGTGAAGTGTGGGCACTTCATGGCAAGTTGCTTGAGTCTTACCAAGTCTTCAGGCTCTTCAGGCTCATGGCCTCCTCACCGCTCAGTTGCGATCACTAGCCGCGAGCTGCACATCTTGATCCAAAGTGCGCCTTCGCAAGATATTCGCGACGACAACGTCGAAGGGCCCCTTCTCTTGTGCCAGCCGGGCACACAGCTCCTCCCACGAACTTGCTTGAACGCGGAGCTGTTTCCGAGTTGGCGAACCTTCTCCAGCTGCATTCCCAACCATCTGCCGCCGTGTCTTCAAAATCATACGGCTGAATGCCACGTCGAAAGGCATGACCCCTAGCAAGGAACATGACCCCTAACCAGGATGATGACAGGTTGGCTCCCCCAGAGTCGGCAGCAACGTTTGAGCTAGGATCATTTCGCCACATCTCGGAACCCGTCTGCTGGCTTCGAAGAGTTATATCCGGAGTTGCCAACTTGGCTAAAAGAGTCCATGTGGGCGTGGCACTTTCAACTTCTTCCTCGAAGTTAAGCGGACATGTTGGCCCAAAAAGAGGTTTTGAATGGTTCGGAGCATTCAACGATGTTTATACCTTCCGCGTTCCTCCGCCTCATCAAAGCTCTCCGGGCCGCAAAGGAAGCTCACCGGCGCCTCAATGCCCAAGCTGGAAAGGCAGCTGCGCGAAGCTGAGTCCTTGGGTTTCTCCGTGAAGGTCCCGGCCCTCTGAATGCGTGTTTCCCAATATTTCCCCATATGGCTAGGATTCTAGGGCCCCCCCACTTCGAGAAGCCAACTGCTAGGCCTATTGCGAGGCTTTGCCGGTGCAATCTGGGCCTGGCCTCTACATGCTGGACATTTGCCCTCAGGCCACTAGAATGCCGAGCAAAGGGAAGACAAGCATTGCAAACCTCGTGTAAACATGCACCCCTTTTTGCAAAAACGAGTATATAATAAGCTTCCTTCGAATCAAACAGGGTTATCTTTCATTCTTTGTTTTTTGGTGGGGGGGGGACCGCAAGGTGTGCCAAAACAACGGTACTAACTTTGCAAAATGACCCCCCCCCCCCAAAAAAAAAAAACATGGTGCCAAACCTAGTAGCTTTCATCTTGTCAGAGGTACGTGGAAAAGTCAGGGCTGAAACCAAACTCGTGAGCTGTCCCTCCCGGGAGGCCTTCGAAACCCATCGAACGTATACCTGAGCTATTGCCAAACATGGGTATGTGTGAAAGAGGGGATCCAACTGCAACCAAACAAATTTGGGTGTCTCTTTTTTAGAAGGTACCCAGCTTGGGGTTGGCTTAAAAGGACAAGGACACCCTTGCCATTTTGGAGGGTCCCGTATTGAATTCTCCTTACGCCAAGCCCACCACAAAAATGCCGAGCGAGCTTCCACAGATCCTTTGTCCACATCCACACCAATAACTTCTGAGGCCCCCAGGTGTGCTGCGCAAATGGCCAAAACCCCACTGCCAGCGCCATAGTCCAGCACCGTCTCCTCAGAGACGACTTCTTGGAAGGCACCGCAGTTTCTCAAATTTCACGGTGGATCCTCGTTTTGGTATTCAAAGGGAAACAACCAGGAAACTTGAGGAAGGCAAACGAAGGGTGACGCCCACTCGCTTTCCGAGGGAGGAACTTCACAAGAATGAACAACTGCCAAAGCGCTTGAACAGGCCGAATGGAGAGAAGAGCGGAGAGAAGAGAGGAGCGGGGCCAATGGTGGGGAGACGGGCAGAAAGAAGAGCGGAGCGAAGAGTTGGGAAGAAGAGTGTGCGCAGAGCTGGAGAGAAGAGAAAAGCAAGGCGAAAGGAAAAGTAATCATCCGAAGCCAAATGTCTTTCACTGCAGTGAGCGAGAACACATAGATATGTATATATATATATATGTGTATATGATTCACTGGCCCCACCCCTTGCTAAAGCAAGCAGGCGGACTCCAGCGAGCAAGATAGCTGTCGTGCCAAGCTATGTAGGGGGCCCGATCAAAGCCCTCTTTGTCAGTGTGGCTTAAGTAGAACTTTGTACATTCCAGGAAAACCGGGGCGTAGGAAGTGCAACTAGCACTCGCATAATGCGCGTGGCGAGGCCACCGCTCTCTGAAGCGGAGCCTCATCAAATGGAGGCATAGAACCCATAGAACCTTCAACCTGCGACTCTCTGGCCTGCGACCTTCAAACTGGTGGCGATGCCAACTGATGCTGGCAAGAGGCTCCACCCGTCATCACCTACCAAGCAACGCTGCGTGAATCAGGCATGTTCAAATGCTTGTGTTGCAACAGACGAGAGGGCATGTCAATGTGGCAATGCGGAACAAAAATAGTATTTTGCAGCGCGTGGCGTGGCGTGTGGCGCAAGGCAATTCAGCGTTTGGCAATAGGCACCGGCATGTCCTGGCCCACCTTGTGGGAAATGGTCAAGGGTCAGGAGATTATGCTTAAGTCCGATAGCTGGCAAAGGGCCCTGACACTTGACGATGCCAAACGGGCCAACACAGCCATATCATGACTGAACATTGAAACAACATCGTGATGGAGTATGAAACTGCACCGCAACTGCTGAGAGGGAAGTTGTGATTTGTGTTTCGAACGTTGCGAGGCTAAACAGGCCAAGTCTGCAAGGGTACACGCGGTGCACCGACTGCAAACTCCGCATTGCCACCAAAAGATTGCTGCCATTGACCGAGCCAGCCAAGGACGGCTGACAGCTAGCGCTCGATTGGAGGTGCTGGCTTTGTTGGGCAAAGGGGAGGCTGATGTTTTTCCCGCTGGTCGAATTGCCTCTTGTAGATGCATTGTCAGCCCGCTGATCTCAGCAGTGATTCGTTGATTCAAGATCGAGTGCATGCTTCATTTGACTTTCGCACTTGAACGCAGGCTCAACCTACAATCCACGCAATCGTTGTTTGAACCAAGTAAAACGAGGACTATGCAGAAATAAACGCAGAAGGCGGTCTAAAGTAGGTAGAACAAGGCGGAGCGCTTTTGCACTTTGAGTTCGCGCACCTATGCCTCCTTGACAAGATCGGGAAGCCCAATTTGTTGCTTCCTTTGCGCGCGTATAATGGTATCTAGTAGGATCCCTGCAAGGTCTTTCTGTGCACGTTGTTGAGTTTAGTGTGCCCTTCAGTTGTTCTTCGTTTTGGCAACTGCGCTTGTTCCAATTCAAGTCGTGCCAACACAAGCAACTCCTTACCTCTCGGATCATTCCTTTGGGTAAAAGCTATACTGCCTGGTGATTCAAAGAGGCGCCTAATGGGTGAACCCTCCGAATGGGTGGTTTAATCCAGGTTTCAAGGTTTCCCTTTAAACCAAGCCAATGGTTTGGTTTTCAGATTTTTGCCGCGGACCGTCCGTCGCAAGCGAGCCTTCTCCAGGAAGGCCACGGCTCCCTGGGTCGTGGGGTGGTCGCCCAGGCCAAAGGCTGCCCCCCCCTCCAAGCGCAGAACCACGCGCTGAGACTCGCGGCACCCACCTCCGAGTTCCCACGGGTCGTCTTTAGAGGGCAACAAGAAAAACTGGCGATCCGATTCCTAAAGGCACGCCCACATGTCCCCCTGGGGTGGGTTTTAAGGACTGTAAACATCACCTTGTCACCAATTTGAATCGAGTCTCGTTTTGGGGTGATGTTTCTTTACCGGGGAAACATCGGAGCCCTGAACAAGCTGGCGCAGTGTTTTGCCCAGGTCGCCGAAGAGGCGAAGAGCTCTACTGCTCTGTGCTTCGGCCTGTGTGGCAAACCTGGTCATATAGAGATATTGATAGAAGATGAAGGCGCGTCCAAGATGCGGGGTCCGGTTTTGGCCCCAAAAAATGAGAAGGCGGCTCCTTCTTCGCGCAATTCGACTGGCTACAGTTTCGACAGCCACCCGCTATTCGTCAAAAGGGAGTCCCAAAAAACGCAAATAGCACCTTGCAAAGCTAAGTGAAACGAGGTTGTAGGACTGTAGGACGCCAAAATCGTTGGCACGGGCATTCTTACTCTCTGTTCCTCACAAATCCTGCGAGCCAGGCACAGATGCATCATCTTTGGGCTTGAGAAAGAAGGGAGGCCCCTTCCCTACAAATGAGCCCTCAATCTCTGGGGTCTCGCGACGAAGTCCCGTGCCTTCCGGACCCTCATGCCAGGGCAGCAAAACTTTGAAGCCATCCCCCAGCAGCAAGGGCTCCCAACTGCGCTGAACGTGCTCAACCCAGTCAATGTCCTTGGATGCTTCTCATACCCTATAGATGGCGTTGCAAACACCAACATCACCAACCAAACAAGAGAGGTCCACCATTTTTGCAATTTGGAAAACTCCCAACTGCCTGAGACGTCCGGCCTGCGCAAAACATGAGATTCCACCGCACTGGCACTTGATCCTGCCCGCTTGCGCGCCCAGTTTCTTGCACTTTTGTCACCGTCCAAGGTGGCAGCACCTCCAGGTCGAAGCAACTCCGCACTGCTGCCAGGATCTTTGGGATGTCAGCATCGGCAGCAAACATGCCGCTCACCTCGACGTGCACTTTTTAGGCTACCGTCCCCATTCTTTCCAGGGATCCTTCTTGCCAGAAAGCCTCCAGACACCCTGGTTGAAAAGAATGGGGAATTAACCCCTAGACACTTGCCCTCAAGAGAATGGCGGCTAAATGCGGCCAAGCATAGTGCGGTGTGATCCAGTTCCGAATGGAAATCAGCGAAGACATCTAGGGTCTTAACCAGCACCTTCAAACAAGTTCAGAAAGGCTCCGCCCAAACTGCAACTTTCCGACTTTCAGCTTCAAGTCTCCATGATGTCATTTGCTTCGTCAAGACACTGCACATAAGAATGCAAATGCACACACACACACACAAAGACACACTTCTGCAAGAAGCAGTTGCACTGCTCCAGGTCGGTGTGTTGTCGGTGGCCGTCTCTCGCAGCAGCTCACCGCCTTTGCCTCGAACTGCCGTGCACTGGGCACCCAAGCCTGGAACGCGCAGTACCCTCACTGCTAGGTTCAAAGTCCGCCCCGCTGGCACAGTAAATAAACACCGTATGCTCAACATTAAGGGAAAAACACTTTTGGGAGTCGGCCACAACCTCTGGCTGAATCTCACCATCGTGCCAATGTGCTTCCGACAAATTCTAGTCCAGTCATCCATCTGAGTGCGTCGCAAGCATTTGGAGCCTTTGCAATGGCTCACTCCCGGTTTAAATTCTTGACACATTTGGGGACATGACCTCCTTGGAACTGGGCGGGCCCAGGTTCTCCAAAATGGGTGGGAACCCGAATCATCATCCACAATCTGTGGGACGCCATAAGGCAAGCCTTGGCAAAAGGAAGGATTGACTTTGAACACCTTGTTGGCAAATACTTGAAGGTAAGCCTCCAAAAAGAAAGAACAAAAAGAACAGGGCCCACTGGAGGTCTCAACACAGAGTTGGTGGTTTCCCATATGTTTGTCATTAGTTTCTCTTCAAACCAAGCCCCCCAAAAGCGTACCCTCGGAAAAAGACAGACCCTGTCAAAAGCCCCCGTTCAACGGCGTCTTTGTTAACTTCCCCAGCCTTCGAGCAACTCCGTGAGGGCCTCCGGGTCATCGCTCTCCAGTTCCTCGCGTAACTCCGTGGCGTCGTGCTTTACCGGGTACTCTTCTTGTTGCTTGTTTTTGGGTTCTTTGAAATTGAAATGACAACCAAAAGGAAGACTGCAATTGTTGGCTGCAAATTCCTATTTTGACCCTGTCAAAAGAAGAGCCCTGGGGAGGATGTTGTGGGCGACCCAAACTGGGTCCGTAAGGTCAAAAAACCATGTCTCAAATTCGCGAGGAGGACCAATTCGCGAGGAGGACCAATCAGCTCAAAAAGCCCAGGCACGCGTCGCTTACCACAAGAGTTGCAATGGGCCGAACACATGAGGAAGAGCCAATCCCCCACCCCCGGATGTGTCACTTCGAGGCTGTCTGCAGTTTCCTTGGCAAGTCTCAAGCTGCACAAGTTCCGCGGATCCAAAGGCGTGCGTCGACCGCCGTCTGGAGACCGTTAGTGCTCCGCACACTCCGCAGAAAATACCTCGCAGGGACCAGACTGGGCTCTGCCTTTGTGCCATGAGCACACGTGCCGCCCATGAACAAACTTAGGCCTTGTGCTTGTCAACTTCTCACCTGCGAGTGGGGAGCGCCGAATTGCTCTTGGCCCAGCTGGCCGCCTTGCCGCAGTTAGCCCAGGGTTCGGCTGAGGCGCTACCAGTGACGCGCCGGGAGGAATTCCCAAGGACGCAAGCCGACCAGGCTTGTAGGCCATCCTGTGGGTATGCCTTTTTGACTCCTTTCAAACGTGGACATGAGATCAACCGTGTAGTGTGAAGGGGTTCCCTATGTTTGTTTGACGGGTCCCTCTCAAGCAACACACTCTCTCACACACACACACTCCATTGTCCAGCTGCTGATCTCTTTTCATGTCTTGTTTGAGCAAGTGTTGAGCTTGCAAGCGGTATTGAGCCAGCATGGCTGGTCATGCAAGCCAAGGCAACAATGCATGCAGTACACGCACAGCTGCTGGGCAATTGGCAGAAGCAATGTTGAGACATTCTCCCGGCGAGCAGCAATCACCTGTCCAGTCGAGGCCGGCTGCGAACAAGACTCACCCAGCGGCCACGAGAACCCATGGTAAACGATTCTATGACATCCAGCTCACTCATGCACGAACGTGAAGTTTGAGCACGTCAAGCTTAGATGCGTCAAGGGCTGGACTTGCGACTCGCGACTCGCCTTCTCCTGGATCCCTCCCACCTGCGCAGATCTCCCTCCATGCTTTGTCGTGAGCTGAATGGTGACCAGCGCAAACCCCGCAGATATGGATCGAATTGCGTCGACTTATAGGCCTTCAACACTTTCCCCATCAATGACAGCTCGCCAGTCATGGCAACGTCCGACCTGTGCCCCCGTGGAAGGCAAGAACCACGCGGATCGCCAAAAGCACATTGATCAGAATGCACATTAAACAAGACACAGGCCCTTTGATGTATCTCACCATCGCACTGTGGCCCTCACCTCACCGGAACGTCCAAGGCCAAGCTGAGCAAAGCAGTTGCCATGGTCACCCCAGCTGAGGGTCCATCCTGCCAATCCAGCGCTCAGAATCGCTCGTGGCTCATTTTTCTAAGCTGTCAAGGGCACAGATCGACGACGTCTGGTTCCTTCCTTTGGTGCAAACTCGGTTATGAAAGCGAGCAAGCTCATGCCTTGCAACTCAATGTGGATGTGCTCAGGCTATCAACGCCTTTGGCAGAACTTGCGGTCGCTGCCAAATCATCAACTTTACTCTGCGCTCGCTGGCTGCTGAAACTCAATGCCCCCCAGAGAACAAAACACACGTTTCTGGTTTGCCTGGATTTATATAGGCATGCAGCTCTTCCAGAAGGGCCAGGCAAGCGCCTGAGGCAAGCGCCTGAAGCCATCCCTGTCAACCCCCGCGGTCCTTTGGGGTGGCACCTTCTGGGACATTGAGATGAATCTGCGCCTAAAGCGCAAAGGAAGCAACTTGCTGCTGGAAAACCGCCACATCTTGCAGAGCATGTCAGTTGGACTGGTTTGCCACTTTGCCAGGCGTTGTGCCGGTTTCTGGTGTTTCCCTTCCTCGAAGTCGCATGCGCGGCACATGCCGTCTGACTCAGGGGGAAATGTGTCTCCTCTAGGCAAGGTCTGGCTAAAGCGCAATCCGAAGGGATGTCACCTCAGAAAGGGTACCTGAAAAAGACACACCCATATGTTGTGACTCCATTTGTGGCGGGAAATAAGCTCAGATTGCAACGTGCCTTGTCCAGGAACGACTTCTCTGGATTCAACCTCGGGCCCGAACAGTCGGAAGGGGCTGATCGTGTCAAGAGGACTTCAAGAAACCAAGTTCTTGAAACTGGGGAGGGGCCAGGTTTCAGGAAGAACGCACATGTAAACACTGTGGTTGATCAAGCCTTGTTCCCCTGCCCATGCTAAGCAGTGCTGCTCACGGATAAACATCCGTGCATACCTGCCGCCAGCAATCAGCAATCAATAAGAGATCATACATTTTGCCAGCGCTATGCAACAAATAACCGACCAACACTGGCTGCAGTGGAGGGACTGTACAAGTAGAAGCCCCTTTTTCTGAACCTGCCTGGAGCATGGGTGCATCCCAAAATCGAAGCCATTTTGACAACCCACCCGAAGGCACGTCAGAGAGATGCTGCTGGATTCGCTCATCACCGCACCAAGTTGGCCTGTGACCTGCGACTCACACTTGCTTGCCAAAGAAAGATAAAGAAAGGGCATGGGATGTGTCGAAATGGACATGAACGAACTCTTGAAAAGGGTACCAGTGATACCCGAAAGCAAAAACGACCACAGAGGAAGAGCAGTCGCGGACAGGGGAACGCACCATGGCGTTGCAAAAGCCCGCTGGCATGTCCCCGTGCACCATCATGTGACACGGCCTGCATTTCACCAGGTTCGGCATCGCTCTTCTCTGGCCTTATTTCACACAGAAGCGCGGCACTGCGAACGGGGCATTCGTTCGCACCAGAGCCCCTTTGACAAGGATTCACAAGAGACTCAACCATCCAAATAGGGTTCCCCATTTGGATGCATCCCCGTTTAGGCGACCCGCGGCTTCTCTTCGTCAATGCCCTGCAGCATGAGGTTGCTGAGCATGACATTTCACTTGCCGAAGCATTTCGTGCGCAAGGTGGGAAGAAACCCACACCGCCCTGCTCACGCCGAGAATGATTTCTGACATGCTGGAAGACAACCAGCCCAGTATTTTCGAGCCTGAATGATGACTTGAGTGATATCGTTGCCTATGCTGCCTGGCGAATGCTTGCCCCCCTTCGCGGCAAACACGAAGGGCCGAATGCATCTGAATACCCTGCCTTCAAGCGGAAGCCGGCCTGGCAACAGACCGAACCGAAACACGCTGCGATTCGAATCGCTCCAGTGGCCCACCCCTAGCTTCGATGTAGAGCGTGGCTCCACCCATGTTGGTCCAGGCAAGACCCATGACCTGGGGAGAGGGGGGGTCGATCTGGTTGAAAAGGACAAAGCAACCGCTGCGTGGAAAAAGGCAGTTTGGGGCAAAGGATGGGGATACATTCATTTTTGCATGCATGTTTCTGGTTCACTGGGTGATACCGTGTCAAACGCCCACTCGCTTTTACCTCATCCTGAACCCAGCAGCCAGCTGCCTGGCTCTCTCCTTGCCGATTGGCAACTGCATCTCTTGGTGAGACCTCTGGCCAACGAGTAGTGATCACAGGCCACATGCAAAGAGCCAAAGGCTCCAAAACGATGCATGCCCTAGAAATAGTCCACGTCTGCAGCGGGCTCACCGTTGTCGGCATCCTCCTCTCCGCTGCCATTGTCAGTAGGGCCATGAGCGCTCGCCGCCTCACTGTCCGGACTGGCCATGTTCTCCGGGGGAGACGCCAAAGACTCCTCCGGGGAGGCTGCAAACTCTAGGGGCGAGGCCCCTTGGCCCGCCTCGCCGGCCTCGGCGCCGGCCTCGGCGCCCGCAGCTGCTCCCTCCTCTGTTCCTTTCCGGGCGCGCTTGGCCGCGAGCTTCTCGCGGATGGCGGCGGCCCGCTTGTCCTTCTCGCTGGCGGCCGCACGCCGCGCCTCTAGCTTCTCTTTGAGCCGCTCCTCTCGGCTCTTGCGGGGAGCGACCGGAGGTGCCGGAGGTGCCTTTGCGGAGCCCTGAGCCTTCAGAAAATGGGCCTCCGCAGGGTTTACAGCCTTCGGCTTGGGCTCAGCCTTTGGCTTCTCAGGGCGATTCACCATAACCTTGTTGAAGGCCTTTGACCCGGCGCAGTTGGCCCTTTTCACCACCATCTCCTTCACCTGGCGGTATGCCTTCTCCACCTCCCTGGCCTTGTCAAATTTGTTCACCTTCTCATATTGCCTCACCAGGTTGGTCGCCCGCTGCTTCAGCTTTGGAAGGTCCGACTCCTTCCGCACTGTGAAGGCTGGGATCCGAAGCACCGCATAAGGATCATCCATGGCGATCGAAACCCACGGAAGCCCATGAAGCTGCAAGCGCGAACGAAAAGAGCTTCCCATCAACATGTGTTTCACTTTACTCCTAGGTGGCTTGGATTGGCTTGGAATCCAAACCACCAAAGGGTTGCCTGAAGATTGCGGACAATCTGTTGGATGGCTCCTTTTGACACATCCGGTGCTCAACACGATGAGGGCGTGGCCACGCCAGGAGGTATGTCGCTGTTGAAGAGCCTGGCAGGAGCAGAGTAGTACTGGAGTAGTCCCCTACCCCCTCAAGTGCACACGCCCTTTCCCAGAAGCAATGCAGTCTTTCAAAGGAGGTGAGTGCACATACCCGAATCTTCCTGGTGCACTTTTCCCCAATTTGCCGCACAATTGCAAATTTCAGTCCTTTGACCGAAGAAGCGCTTTTTCACTGCAAAAGTGTCGTTTCAAATTTTGTTGCCAACGTTGCTGGGAAAGGACGCCGTTTCGCCTTCATTGCATTTGATCCCAGAAGGGGTGCACGGGACCAGCAGGGGGGGGCAAAGGCAACGCCTCATTGTTCCAATATGTTCCAATGTAGTTCGTAGTTGAGGCGGCTTGATGATGACTGCCACAAGCAATGCCACCCTGCACCAAAAGTTCCATGCTCCTGTGCCGGGCGCAAGTTGCACAGATTCAGCGTTTTCTGTTGCGGTTTGCCCAGGACTGGTTTGGCAAAGACCGAGCTCTCCAGGGCAAAGTGGTGCGACTGAGCAGTGTGCCAATGACGGATCTCGGCGCAAATCCCTGGACGGCCAGTCGGCCAGTCTACCAAATCTGCTAAAGGCTCTGCTCGCACGCTTCTCGAAACGGGCAATGCGCCGCACTGAGCTGGTGGCATCGGGTAACACGCGAGCCCAACAATCTGGGAAGTGGTTCTTCAGCCTTGCTGAACATGTACTCCTGCATGCGGTACTCTGGCTCCAGCAGGCTCTGCAAGGATTGCACCAGAGTCATATTAAAACACAAATCCGAGCGGTGCCCACCCACTGAGTTGTGCCGCGGAAAGGTGGCCTCCTTCGAAAAGCCGTACTGTGCCCCAATGAACTGCACCAGTGCGGTGAAGGTTTCTCTAGAGCTGAGCCGTTCCTGGCAGGGTCGGGCCGTTGCTTCATGTTTTAGCTGCTTAAACAACTCCTTTTGGCTTCCCTTCGGCCATAGGTGGTCCGGATGTTTCTTCATGTTGCCGCCTGGTGCAGCACCATTCCGCGTCCGGAAAACAAGGTGAGCATCGTTTGCAGGTGCTGTGCCACCTCTCGGCTCGCCCAGAAGTCCCGGAGAGCTCCCCAGCGCTCCGACAGCAGCGCCGACGCGCTCGGGAAACAATTTCTCGGGTGGCTGGCCGCGTGGTGGTCCCTGGAGGCGAGCCCGCGCTGCATCGCCTGCGCCAAATCCTCGTGGCAGTACCTGTACATGACAAATTCCTTCTCCAGGCGGTTCAGGGGGTCGCACAGCACCACAACTGTCTTCAAGTTGGGCATCGATGCCAGGGCACGCCTGGGGAGTCCGTAGGAGAAAAGCGTCGGGTTACAAAGCCCCAGCAATGTGGGCCTGTGCCCTGTCGATCTCCACTTGGCCTCACGCACGGCTTCCAGTTGCGCGTTGTATGCATCTACCTGCTGCTTCAGCGGAAGCAGACGGTGAACTACTTGGTTGGAGAAGAAAAAATCTTCATCCGATGTGGAGAATGCTATTTCTACGTGTTTATCCAAATTTCTATGTAAGGAAGATGTGCCGCAACTGTCCACGCCAGCCACTGCGAAGTCCAACTGGATACTGGACCAGTCCATCATTTCCTTTATCTCAAGCAGCTGGGCCAATTCCTCAGGGCTTGAGGACTTCCTTCCAAACAGCCGAACCGATAAACTAGACGCTTACTTGTGAGCCCCGCGCCTGTGGCTCCAAGAAACCGCTGGCTCTTTTCAAAAGCCTTGTCGCTATGAACTTGGGATAGATCACCTCTGCCAGCATAGCTTCCTGGCAACTGATTGGCGCGCACAGGCTGGTTCTTAAGACCTCCGGCACGCCTTCGATCTCCAGCTTGGTGCCCTTGAAAACGAGCCGGGACAGGTATCGCAAAAACGCTGACACGTTGGAGGCTGGGACTTTGCGGGCCATGGCTCGAAGCTGCAGGGTGGCTTCCCAATACCGGCCTCCGTGCACCCAGCACCCCAGCAGCTGTGACTGAGCCTCTCCAAACAACTGGTCCAGCCACAGGTCCGCGTAGCCCAGGTCCTCCACGGTGCCGGACAACCCACGGCGCTTCATCACCTCCTGCCAGTACCACGCGGGCCTGTGACCTGGCGGGGCGAAAATGGAAGTGGCACCCGACATCGAATACCACATCGCCGCATTGGCTTCGTACTCAGTTGGACAAGCGACCATGTCCGGTGCATTGCTTGCACATCCACCCAGGAGAAAGCCTACAAGGCGTGCCATGCCTTTGAGCACTCATGCTTCCTTCAGGCTCTGCATGCAAAGCGCCTTCCACCGCACGGCCTCCCAACAACGAACAGTGAGCGAGCGAGGGGGCCTGTCAGAGAGGAACTGTGGCTGACCGATGTAGGTCTTCAAGTTGTCAACGCCTCGCATTGGTGTTGAGCGCATGGCCACTTATGCGATCAACTCGACTCGACCACTCTTCTGAATCCAATCGATTGGTTCATAAGCCCTCAACACGGGTGCTGCCTACTTGATCAAGACCTCAAGCCTGATGCCTATGAGCTCTGCGCCCACCACCACCACTGGAAGACTCTCCTCCTCCTGCATCCGTGCATCCGTGCATCCGTGCATCCGTGCATCCGTGCATCCGTGCACCGAAACAGCGACAAAGCCTTATGAGCTCTCATGTAGGTTGCCAAGGCAGAGTGCAACGTACCTTTTCCGCCAAGCTTGCAATTGCAACGCCATTCTGCCTAGGCCCGGCCCACGCGCGAGGAGCAATTTGTTGTGTACACATCAGTCTTGAGATGTTTGCCGCCGCGTGAATAGCACTCCTTAGGAGTGACAAACGTTGGGCCTGCCAAGGGCTCAGGAAGCAAGTGAACACCGTGGGTTCGAAGTCGGTTGCTCGCAGCTGGACTTTTACTAGGTTATAGCTTCCTTGGCAGGCTCCGCTCATGCACATACTGAATCTCTTTTGCAGCCTTTCGCAGCCCATTGAGCCTGAGCAATCAAAGGAATGCTGCAAAACCAGCACACACCCACCTCAGGGCGGCACTCGAACGGCTAGCTGACATCGCCCTGAGCTCAGACCAGCTGCAACTCTCGATCTTCTTTTTTTTGTCCTGTCACTCGAGCCACGGGTTGAAGAAAGCAACGCGCAAGTGAAGCGGTCGACTTAAGCTCATTGTTGCAAGATAGTGTAGGGTGGCTGGCTGCATTCGCCAACCTAAACCCTTCGGCTCCTTCCAACTTTTGAGCTAGCCTAAGTGAACAGCCGGAATCTGATGCGCCCAACCTTCTGCCCCTTTGGCCACGACGCTTCCATGATGCGACGCAACCCTTGGGCCAAGAGGCGCCTTCTCTCGCTTTTCAATCTCGCGTAGCATGGCCACACCTTCCTCGAACTCGATCGCCTACGATTGGTCGATGCGTATCTTTTGAGGGTACCCTTTTCGGGGTTGGTTTAAAGGGGAGCAACACGGAAACACACCATCTTTGGGGGTCCCCCAATTTTGAGGCGCGACATGATCAATGTGTCATGTTGCGGGGGCGTAGGTTGCCCCGTGTTTCAGTTATGAAACGCGGAGCTGCAGATCTCTCGCAATCAGGGCCAATCGAAATAATTCAAAAAGGGAATGATATCGATAAAGCCAAAGAATGAGCGACATTAATTGAAACAGGAATAGTATAATCTGTATATATATATATATATATAATAACCTGTTTTGTGTTTAATGATCAAAATAAATTGGCCGCAAGACCTAGGGCCCTTACTTGCCGCAAGCGTAAGGTTGGAGGATCCGGGGGTATGTAACATACCTCCGTCGCTTCGTTTGGTGGCTCTTGGCCTCATGGATTCTTGTGGGGGTTTCTAGCTATCAGCTGACTTTCTAGTTTCTGCGAAGGGTCTTGGATGCAAATTGCAGGTTGAAACAGTTGGCCTCTAGATCCTGGAGTCTCCTTGAGTCAAGGTGTGTGTGTGTGTGTCAGACTGTGCGTGCACGCGTGTGCATTTGCATGTGGAGTTCCAGCGAGAAAAATCAATGCTCGACGCTGCCGAAAGCGCAGGGCAACACACGCAGCGTGGACGTTGGCAGGTGAAATTGGAGCGTTTGATCTTGCTTTCTTGGTCCCACCTTGCCAGGCAGCTGAGGCAAGACTGCAACTGACTAGTGAGCCAGTGTCTTGACTCGACGTATAATATAATCGCGTCAAGTCCGCAGAGCTTCACCCAATCGAGCCTCGCGCCGTCGTTTTAGGAATCCTTCCAAGCGCCTCACCTTGGAACACCATTCTGGGGTGCCACAAGCAAAAAAAGCTGGCTTTGACCCAGCCTTGGGACAAGGGAACAACGAGACAACCAAATTGGAATATGACCTGGCTTGGGCTTGCCAATCGAGACACCTGACATCCGATAACCGGTTGCCGCATGTCTCACCGCAAGCCAAGCTTCAGCTTCAGCGAGGCCAAATTTGAAGAAACCGATGAGCCCGAAGTTCAGAAAGACCTGGCCGATACCCCAGAGCCAGGTGTTGTCCGGGAACTCGTCGTAGATGTCCTAAAGAAACAAGTTGGAGACTTTGCCCGCCGGGTACTGAGTGTGGGCTTGTCTTTGTTCAATTTCAGTTGCTTTCTGGCTGATCATTTCAAGGCAAACCCGCGCCCAATCGGCCAAGTGTCACTGGTGACAAAACTCACCACGGCCACAAGCTTGATGAAGTTGTTGAGGGCGGGGCCGGTTAGATCTTCCAAGGGTCCACCTGGCAAGGTCCGCTATCCCAAGCTGTGGAGCAACGCTCTCAACGCGCGCCTATCTGCTCTCCCAGGCCCAGGGTGTCGTATTGCTGGCTGTCGGTGCCAATCACTTTCCCGTCTTTCTCCAACATCCCAAACAGGACCTCGCCAGCGTGCCCCACAGGCCCCCTTCTTTGAGCCTTCTTTGAGGGACGAAGCGTGCCCTCTGTCTGTGGAGTTTGCCATTCCGCAAAGGTTTTTCTTGCACAGTGTGGCAAGCATAGCTGGTAAATTGCCAAAGGCGCAAACTTTCGAGCTGCATCCTTACATGCGGCCCAATATGCAACACACGCATGGGACAAACCCGCTTGCCGCGGCTGTGACAAGGCAATGTGTTTGCCAGGTGCTGGACTCAGGCCCAAGTCTCCCAGGCTTGTCCGGAGTTGATGAGAAACATGTTCCTTACGCCAGGCTCCCGACAAATGTTGGCCATGCTGCAGAACTAACGCTCTTGTGGAACGTATCCCCCCTTGCAGGTCGCATGCGCGCACTCAATCTCGTGTACTTTGAACATCTTTGAACTTGCTTTGCGAGGCTCAATGAGAAGCAAACTGAGTTGCCACCACTGACCAGCATCAGGAGCCCCTTGAAGCCCAGCAACTGTCCTTGCACGCGAACACGTCCCGCACCCATCTTCACCCTTGACATCGGTATATATCACACGCACATACACACACACACACATATATATATATATATATACATAGATATACACGTGGAAACTTGGCGGTCAGAACTTTCGATGGGCTGATAAAACGACCAGCTACGCCCAACACAGCCAGACAACTTGAGCACCCAAGGCACCAATCACCAAAGGCGCTGCGAATGTTTGGCACATAGGCGAGAAGGTGAGCTGGAACGACTCAATGGCCGCAAAGCCCGTCAGCGTCTGCAAGGAACTCATGTTGTACAAATGCAAGGGTGGTGGGGCTCTGCCAAAATGCAAAAAAAGGCCAGTAACCTGGAGTCTCAGGGGTTTGCATGTTGGAATGCTGTGCTCTATTCACTATGGAACTGTGTCTGATTCTTATGCCCACATGTTGCCAAAGGCAGCTGCTGGCTAAAGGCATCTCGCTCCTTCAGTGGGATGATGTGTGTGGCCGGAAACGTCTTGTCAAGTCGCGGTCCAGATTGATCAGGTTTGTCTTTGCCTCAAGTCCAACACAGGCCGTGCCGAACAGCAATGCAATTTGTAAGCCATGCGTCTGTGTGCCATACGGCAACACGCATTTACCCCCCATCTCGAGGAGGGCCACCAAAAACACTACTGTCTTCACTTTGGTGGTGGCAGCCTGTTGCACTCATTTGCCAGGCCTGCGGAAGCTTGTGCCAGCACGCACCCTACAGCGACGTGCTGCGCAGATCCCCTTGCGCAAGCACTCATCCAACAAGAAGGAGAAAACACTAAGCTGGAACTCCTGCCTGTGGAAAGCGCGCTGCGTTGGGCATTCGCCAAAGCAATTTCGTACTCTGGTCGGTGCTCCCAAATTCTAATTTTGGCAGCGCCACAGCCGGAAAAATCCAAGCATGCGTTCAGTGAGTTGGCCGCAATGCGCGGATGCCCCAATAAGGAGACGCGTGCTTCCGAACATCCAAGTTTGCGCAGTCTGTGCACGGAATGGCTGTGTCGCAAGCACGCCCGACACCTTGCCAGAAACTTGAATTACAAACAATTGCGTGCTTGGTTCCTCAAGCGACTCTGCAGCTTGGAGTTCAGCCTTGCAACGCAGCCAGGTTTGATGTTTGCAGCTGCCGCCCAGGTTGCGCAGATTTCGGTCTTCGTAATGTGGATCATTCTCAATCCTGTTGCCAGGTTGCAAAAACGAACCAGCTTCTTGGCCATACGAATGCAGGAGGTCACCGTATTGGCGAGGAAGAGCCTCAGCTGACAGTTCGCCCGGAACTTGGTAAGAGTGGATGCCCAATGGCTCCTTCCATTAGATTTGGCTGCTTAAGTGATGCTTGGTGCTTCAAGCGGCTAGTTGACAGCAATGATTGCAACATCTTGCCTCAAATCCACCAGGGAACATCGTGAAAATGATCCCAGCCAGAAGTCCGGCTCGTGCGAACTCCGACAGCTCCTGACCTGCGCGGGACAAGATACGTGAAAGCGGCCGATAGGTGCCAACGGCACACGTCTTTTGATCTGCCAGATTTGCCTGTTATAAACCACAAGGCTTGTCGCACAAGGACAACAAGAACAATAACAGCAACACCACTACCACCAACAAGAAGAAGAACGCCTTTGCCCCGCCCCATCTACTAAATTGGATGATGGTTTTAAAAAAACAGTCACGACTCCTAGCAGCAACGGAAGCAACAATCAGAAACCATGTGTGCCGTCAAAACAAGTCAGACTGGGAAGCCAACTAACAGATGCCCGCATGAGCTCATCTCAGCACTAAATGCAGACATTCTGACAGATATAGATCAGAAACCATGTGTTGCGTCAAAACATGTCAGACTAGGGAGCCAACTTGCCACCAAACATGTATTGACCCATGCCCGCATGAGCTCATCTCAGAACGAAATGCAGACATTCTGACAGATATAGATCAGAAACCATGTGTTGCGTCAAAACATGTCAGACTAGGGAGCCAACTTGCCACCAAACATGTATTAACGCATGCCCGCATGAGCTCATCTCGGCATCAAACGCAGACATTCTGGCAGATATAGATCAGAAACCATGTGTTGCGTCAGAACAAATCAGACTAGGGAGCCAACTTGCCGCCAAACATGTATTAACGCATGCCCGCATGAGCTCATCTCAGAACGAAATGCAGACATTCTGACAGATATAGATCAGAAACCATGTGTTGCGCCAGAACAAGTCAGACTAGGCATGCCCACATGAGCTCATGTCAGAACGAATGCAGACATTCTGACAGATATTGATCAGAAACCATGTGTTGCGTCAGAACAAGTCAGACTAGGGAGCCAACTTGCCGCCAAACATGTATTAACGCATGCCCGCATGAGCTCATCTCGGCATGAAATGCAAACATTCCAAAAGATATAGATCAGAAACCATGTGTTGCGTCAAAACAAGTCAGACTAGGGAGCCAACTTGCCACCAAACATGTATTGACGCATGCCCGAATGAGCTCATCTTGGCATGAAATGCAAACATTTCGACAGATATAGATGAGACACCATGTGTTGCGTCAAAACAAGTCAGACTAGGGAGCCAACTTGCCACCAAACATGTATTGACGCATGCCCGTATGAGCTCATCTCGGCATGAAATGCAGACATTCTGACAGATATAGATCGTTGTATCTCCCTCGATTAGGTCGCTATAGCTTGACTTGCGGCACTGTTTTGTCCCGCTCTCAACCTCAAGCCAAAGTCGAAGTCTCTACTAGTCAAGGTCATCGCCCGAGCTAGTAAAACCAGCCAGACAGCCTCAAATCCAGCCCCAAAATCAATTTAAGCTTGCGCACTCGTTTGTGCTCCGCACAAAACAAGCGTATGCTCTGCATGGGCTCGGACTCACGGCCACACCTGTCCAAAACAATTTCCCGGAAGTGGCCATCTTTGCAAGCGCAAACATATCTTTCAAGTCAGCCGTGTAGCGCAGATATTGGGGCTTCAACAAACCGTCGTCTTCTGGGACCTCAACACACACTCGCATTATGCGCGAAGGGAATGCGGGAATCAGAAGTGACGAATTCGAAAGGCAAACGAAGGGCAAATCCGCTTGCTTTTCAGCAAAGGCTTCAAAAGCCCAACGAGGACTCTGCGGCCTATCTGGCGCGGCAATAATTACTGCGCCTCACCTCAGGTGACTGCTCTTGACTTCAAGCCAAAGCCGAAGTCTCCACTAGTCAAGGTCATCGCCCGAGCTAGTCAAAACCAGCCAAACAGCCTGAAAGCAGCCCCAAAAAAATTAACCTGGCGCACTCGCTTGTGCTCTCCGCAAAACAAGCGAATGCTCTGCATGGGCTTGGACTTGTGGCCACCCCTGTCCAAAACAATTTTCCGTAAATGGCCATCTTTGCAAGCGCACAAAAATCATCAAAAATCTTTCAAGTCAGCCGTAGAGGGGGCTTCATATTTTTTACAACAAATGGTCGTCTTCTGGGACCTTAACACACGCTTGCGAAGGGAACGTGGGAATCAGAGCTCGCGAATTCGGAAAAGAAAAAGAAGGGCAACCCCCGTTTGCTTTGCAGCAAAGGCTGCTCAAAGCCCAAAGAGGACTTTGCGGCGCGTCCGGTGCGCGGCAATACTGCGCCTCACCTCAGGTGAGGCGCGTTTGGCGAGCTGGCGGGGGGTGCGGCCCCAGGAGTCCCGCGCGTCAGGGTCGGCACCGCAATCCAGCAGCAGCGAGGCAATCTCCGCGTCATTCCTGGACTGATTCAACTGATTCCCAGACCAGTGGCTCTGGTAGGAAAGGGCATGAAAGCGCGAACCCTTTTCGGGGCTTGACCAGTTGTGGGAAGCCACAAAAGGGAAGCGCGTGTGCGTGAGCCGGGGAGTGAACAGCTGATGGTCTTTTTATGCATTGTGCGACTCCTTGGTGCGGCAGCTTGCGGCATAAACGCAAGAGGTGCGTGGCAAAGACCGACTCTGAAAATAGCCAGCCAACTGATCAGTGGTCTTCACAAGTTGGAAGATTTGGCGATGCTGCTTCTTGATTTAAGCATAAGATGTAAGTTCAGACGCCCATGTTTCTTCGGAAAATGCCGGGGGAGGAAGCCCTTTTGGTTTAGGAGAATATGGAGAATGACTGGGGCAATTTGCATAGATGCAAGTAGGCTCGCGGGAGGCCATGGAATGTGACGCATCCTCGTGTTGTCTTTTCGGGGTCGGCTCGCCTCGGCGTACATGTTATGGAAATGTGCAATGTACAATCCTCACAGCGCTTGGGAATCTCATCGGAAGCTGGAGATTGCACATGCTTTTTCTGGTTCTCATGCAGTTTGTCTTGCTGGCACCAAGTACAAGCGACATTCCACCGACCCACCCTGTCAAGTCGTCACTGAATTTGGCACTTTCAGAGCATATGATTGGGGTCATCCTGGAGGGTCGCAGCACGCAGCTGGAGTGGCCATTAAGGCTTTGGCGGTTTGTCTCTTCTCTCACATCGAAGCTACCGTACAGGTGTGTGCCAGGTCTTTTCACTGATTGCAATGTCAAGAACGGCTTGCGCCGAGATGGTGAGGGATTCTTGCTTCTGCTGGAAGCCCTGGCCATTGGACCGCGCACAGCGGAGCCAGAGAACAGCAATGGGGAATCGTTTCGCGAATGCCTGGAAGAGCAACATATATTTTCTGTCAACTCCTTCAGGCCCCCAGGGCACACCTTCTTTGGGAACCTCGCAGGCGTGCGGTCTCGCATTGACCATGTTTGCTAACCACAGGCCATGCTGCCAGCAGGTGTCTGGCGCTGTGTTGTACTCAGTGGGGGCTAAGCTGCAAAGAGTCCGAGGCCCAGGTAAGCGGGATCACATGCCAGTCAACATGGTCTTCCAGCACAGGTCAGCTTTTACGAGAATGCGCCGAGACTGCACGCCGATGGGACACGTCTAAGCTTGCCAACGGAGTGCTTCGCGGTGATCATCGCAGCCAGCTTGTTTCACAGGTGGAGGCCAACTGCGCACGACACTTTCCGTGCAATCCGGAGCTCCCGCCGCAACCTCACCTTTTCTGGGAACAGTTTACACAAGCCATCCTGCAGAATGCCCATGAGTGCTTCAAACTTTTGCCCAGGAAACAAGAACCACGCCCACGAGACACTGCGGCTGCCATTTTGCAACTGCAGGCTGTTCGGGCGCAGTTGGCGGCAATACCGCAGGGTCGACGCATGTGTGGTCCAGATTTGTTGGCTTCTCTTCAGTTTGAAAAATAAATTTTGCCTCAGTGGAGATGCGTGACCACATTTGTTCAAAGAAGGCAGATGCTCTACTCAAGCGTGACTCCGAGGAGTGGCTTTGTGGCCGGGTGGTGGGGTTCAACTTTGCTTTCCATCGGCGAGATTTTGCACACGTGTGGCGTGTTGGTAGGCGTCAGGAGTTGGTCCGAAGCGCCGCCGGCATGATGCTCCTCTCACAAACCGGCCTGCTTGTGAAGATTGGGCCAGGCATTTGGCGCAATCTGATGGCGGGTGTGCTGGCGCTGAGGTTGTTCGGGAACAATTCTGGTCTGCGTGCCTCTCTGCTGCACCTGTGATGCGCCCGTGCTTGCACGGCAAGAGGTGTCTCAAATCACGCACCGCCTGCGGAATCTCAAGCTTCGGAAAGCTGTGCCGAGCTGGGCGATGCCTGGCGAGATGTGGAGCTACTTTTGTCACCGGCGGAGTGGCGTGGGGCATGATACTATCTTGTGCAATGCTCAGTTCAAACATTGCCTGTTTACTTTGCTTCTGTCCATACGCTCGAGTGGGGGCTCAGTCAAACATTCCAGCTGGGCAAAGGAAACGGCAAGCATTGGCGTTCAGCGTTACGGACCATCAACACTTTTGAGCCTTTGGGCTGGGAAAGGCGCAGGACTACGGCAGCAGGGAGTCCCATCGTGACTGGGCTTTTGGCTACTGCAAACACAAATCTCGCATATCTCCCATCATGTAGAGGCGCATTGTCAAACATCAACTATGCGCAGCAGGAGTATCTCGTTGTGATTCGTTTTATGATGCTGCCAATGCTTTTCCTAGCGTCAGCCGTCGAGCCTGTGACTTGGCAGTTGAAAGGACCTGCTTCTCAGAGATCGGAACAACTTAGCTGTCATGCGCATCTGCGCGGCGGATGGTGATGTGTGTGTGTGTGTCTCGTTGCAGGGTGACACGCATTTTGGCGAACAGTTTTTGGAGCAACGCCCCCACCCACCCATTGACAAGTTTCTGTCTGAAATTGAGAAAATTTACCCTTTGCCACTGCGTTGCCTTGATCCTGTTAGCGGGGCGCGTGTTGAGTTGGCTGTCTCAGCAGCTACTGGCACGCGCTGTCACTTGCGTCGACCCTAGAGGACCTTCGCCGGCAACTTGAAGCTGCCAATTCTTTGGTGCCTGATGCTCTTCGTAGCATTGATGTTGCGCAGAACGTTGACGAGCAACAGCATGTCCTGTGCTTCAGGCGGCAACGCGCACAGCGACACACCAGTCATGTGTTTGAGCAGCCTGTTCTCCCTGACAAAGCGTGCAGCGTTGCACGGTATTTGGGTTCCTTGCGCCATGTTTCTGGCCAAGTTTATATCGAAGTTTGCGCCCGCGTCAGGCAAGCTGATGTTGCGTGGTACTGTACGGGCAAGGTTTGGAACTGGCAGGGGCTCTTACGCAAACCGTGTCTTCTCCTTTATTTCCGGACTGGTGTGCAACACGTTGCTGTCGGGGTTGGAAGCATTGGTGCTCAAAGATTGTCACTACCAGCAACTTGACAGGTACATTCTTAAAAGGGGTCGCAGGCTTATGCAAGGTGCCGCTTGCAAGAAGAGTCAAACTGAAGACGGCTTCCGGTACTCGTGTCAGGCGTATCAAGTACTGGCAGAACGTGGCAGCGCACCCGCGGCATCCAGGCCTCTCCCTGGCTTAAGCAGTTACAAGCTGACTTTGACGAGTTGGGCGCTCTTGAGTCTTGGGCAGAGCAGCACCAAGATGTTGCTGGCCAGATCATGTTTCTGTTTTCAAGCTTTCGTGAGAGATTCATGGGCATGCGGTACTTGGGTCAGGCCATTCCACCACCAGGGTGGCTTGCGCCCCCTGAAGCACAAGAGGTTGTGGTTGAGCCTGCTCCAGACCGGCGGTTCATATGTGAATGCACACTGGATGATGGTTCGCAGTGCGGGGCGAGTCAGATCATATGTGCAACTTCGATCTCATGTGGTTCACTGGCTGCTGTTTCAAACATTTGCACATGGTGCCGGAACAAGTACGCAGGCAAGGAATCAGCGGCTCACCACGTCAAGAGGGCCTTTTGCCGTGGATCTTGCGGCGGGCAAAGGTCAGTTCTCAATCCGGCTCTTAGTCCGCCGGAGTCATTGCATTGCCCAGCTTGTGCGCACGCTTGTAGTGACTTGGAATCACTCTTGCAACACATTTCTGAAAATGAGACGCTGAGTGTAGCCGCACACACAGAAGGATTGTCGCCTGAGACGCAGAAGGAGCTCCTGGTCCTTTTAATACGCACTGTGCTGAAGCACTCGATCGACATTCGCGAATTCGCGAATTGCAGAGCGCCGTCTTGACAACGTCGCTCATGAGTAAAGACAGTGGATTGGCCAGCGCTGCCTCTTCAGCAGCGAGCTTCGAAGGGCAGGCAAAACGCGTGAGCTTGATGTGCTGGGCGGGCCTCACGTGCGCATGTGGGGCGCTGTTGCGCACCATGTCCCTGAGCATGGCAAGATTTCTGCAGAAGACAAGACAGTTTTGCGATCCCATTTGGCAGATGCTGATCCCAAGAAGCTGGAAGGCCTGTGTTTGGGCAAAGTGCAAAAGGTGCTATGACCCGCGCAAGGTGCGCTTCTGTTTTTGCACTGCTCAGGCAGAAACCATTTTGGATGCACTTGCTGAAGATACATCATAGGCTTCAATCTTGAGGCGAGTCCTCACTCATGTGGCGCAATTCGTGCCGCATGGTCTTCGGACCGGTGCAGTTGTTGCCACTTTTGAGACCGTGCCCGCGATCCTGCTACAGGCGGGAGAGCAGCCCCGCTTTTATTTTTTACGCAAAGGCCGTGTCGAATCGGCGTCCCGCTCGGCCATGGAGTTTTCACTTCGGAGTGACGCCAGAAAGAGATAGAGAGAGAGAGAGGGTTTAACCCGAGAGTGGCGCGGTCTCCCTCCCTCTCTCACAAAAGAAGTCGACCTAAGGCGCCCGGCCTTTCACGCCCAAGCCCTTTGCCCAGACTATACCCACATGCCCAAACTACTCATGCCCAGGCTATTGCTCCCGAACAAATAATTAAACTATTTCCGGACTACTCGCCTTTGTGCAGATAATTTGCGCCAGTTACTCTGCGGAAGTGGCTCTGCGCAGATGGCTCGGCACAAGTTGCCCTACGCAAGTGTCTCTCTGCAGATGGCTCTGTGCAACTAGTTCTGCGCAAATGGCTCTGTGCAAATTAGTTTGCGCAAGTGATTCTGAGAAAGTTGCTCGGCGCAACCGGCTGTGTGCAAATTGGTCTGCGCAAGTGATTCTGAGAAAGTTGCTCTATGCAAGTTGCTCTGCGCAAATGGCTCTGCACAACTTGATCTGCATAAGTGACACTGCGCAAGCCTAACAAAACATTAACCTCCAAACACCAAATGTAAAGTTGTGTGCACCAAAAAACAAACCACGAGCCAATACAAACCCTGAAGTCTTCTCCATCTCCCTGAAAAGTCATAAAAGGCATCGACGCTTTCAAGCGGAGGTGCTGCTCCACCGCTACATGGAGTGGATACGTGTAGCTCATCCACCGCCGTCTCCGGGAGTTCACGTGCCTCGTAGCGGCCCAAACAAAAAAAAAACATGAGAAAGCACCTGGAACAAAGACAAGAGCCCACGCCGGGCAGCCCGACAATTCCGCAAGAAGCTAAACACATACACCCACCACAAAAACCAACATGTTCAGGTTCCCAAAAGCAGTATTGTTTCATGCCTATTGTGAAAGATCTGCCTGCAATCAACCCTGCATGCTGGTGAAGGCCTCAGGCTTTGTTGTTGGATTTGGGCCTGTTTTCCAGGATCCCAAACTTTCAGTTGCCCCGAAATGATGTTTTCTTACATGGTTCTTGTTTAAAAACCTGCCCGCAATCAAAGAACGCCCAGAAATCTCAAAGGCAAGCTCCAGCAACACTGAAACTCAATCCCAAATCTCAGAAGGAAGCTCCGGCAATACTAAATCAACATTTGGGGGGCCGTTTGGCTTTTGCAGGCCTTTCGAAGCCGTGGTCTTTGAGAAAAGTCGACAACTTCATCTTCGCATGCCAGCGCTCTTTGCGCAAATGCTTGATCAGCTGGTCCATCTTGCTCCCGCGCGAGGAGGAAGAACCGGTAGTGGAGCTCTCCTTGATAGCTCCCAGGATGTCCTTGCCTTGCGAAGCTGCGAAGACATGCTCCGTGTCCAGCACCTTTGTCACGGCCATGATGTGAAGGTCAGACTGGGCCAGTGGGCCAAGTAGAATGAACTGCAGAACGAACCCACAAGCTGACCCTCAGCTGGCTATAGCCCGATTGGCACTTGAGCAAATCTTAAGTGGCGGCCGAGCATTGAAGACTGCAAAGTCATGCCGAGCTTGAGGTTGCTCGTGCTCAATCTGTTCCATGACTGCGAGCGGCTTGGGCTTCTTTCTGAAAGAGAGAGGGGGACGTAGAAAACAACAGAATCATTCCTAAACAAATTGAGAACAGCCTTCAAATTGAGCATGAGCGCCCAGTGAGGGCGGGGTAAGGCAATGCAGCCCGGCCAGGTTGTCCAAGAGCTGTGCAACTGATTTTGGTGGCTGAAGCCTCCTATTTCTGAGAGAAAGCAGTGACTTTCTGGCAAGGTGCTTCAACGTTGGACTGGTTCGCAAATGAATCAAGCTGCTGTCCGAGTTTCGCCGCCCCTGTCTCTCAAGGCTTTGGCAGTGTGATGGGGCGCAGTTGTGCATGTGCAGAGCGCGAACCCCCCCCAACCCGAGCAGTGTGACAACGACAACGACGACGACGACAACGACAAGGATGACGACAAGGAGGACGCCAACGACAAGGCCGACGACAAGAACGACGACAAGGACGACAACAAGGACGACGACGACGACGAGGACGAGGACGAGGACGAGGACGGCACAAAACAACAACCAACAGCCAACAGCCAACCACCACCGCCGTCATCACCACTATCGTCGTCATCATCGCCACCACCAACAACAACAACCACAACCAACAACCACAGCACCAGCAGAACAACAATGACAACACCAAAAAACAAACAAGACACTCCACCGATTCAACATGCCCATGGAAAGTCAAACCACTCTCTCAAGAACCGAAACATTTGCCAAACATGCAAACACTGACCGTCCAACCGAAACATAAAACAAACAACACACAGAATGTCTCAGAATGCACTGAGCCTTTGCCGCTTGTTGGCTGTCGCTCCCTGGGACCGGGGCCTACAGTAGAGGTGTAGTCTACACCTTGCTTGGTGCGCTTGTCAGCGAGGAGGGCTCCCAGAAGTGCCGTGGTCGCAAAAAACGCATTCTGTCCTGGCCATACGAGCTTGTGCGTGGCTGGGTCCTGATCCTTTAACACTGATGAAAATTTGGACAACCAGGTAGCCAAATTGGCCGCGGGTTTGCATTGGCTCAGTTGCCTTGCTTGTTAGCGATGCTTCTGCGACTTCCGCGGAGGTCTCCTGAAACCACCTTCCCATTGTGTGACTGAGTGGTCCCAACTGCAGCGCATACATTCGCCCGATGGTGAGCCAGCTCGTTCACCTGGAGTGGATCGTGACACCAGCCTGTCTGCTTTCAGAATCAATCAAACCAATGCTCAAACGCAGTATCAACCGACATCTAAACCTGGCTTCAACAAGCAGTCAATCATGCGGAGATATCTAAGTCGACTGCAGGCCAGTGGCAGTAGTAAGGTGCGACATGCGCAAGGCGTTATTTGCTACTGCCCCATAAGCTGCCAGCGTTGCCTGCCAGCCAGTGCAGGCCTCCCAGGGCTAAAGTACGTAGCCTCCCTAGCGCGGAGCCCTCAGGATAAACATGCAGGGAACGGCGTACAGTGTGAAGGGAACATCAATGTCGTGTTCTCAGAAGGGGCTAAGTGCAATTTTCAACTGAGGAGCATATGTGCGACCTGCCAAAATCAGCCTCCTAGAATGTGCCACAGTCACCAAGCTGCCGGGGCACAACAAACATTTTGCAGCTCACGGCTATGGAGGTGACCAGCACACAGCATGCAAGAATGGCATTCGGGTGACGCGTGGATTCAGAGGCCCAGGTTGCCAAAGCAATGAATGCATTCCGAGTTTCCAGCATTCAAAGACACCGCAAATCACATCTCGTCATGCGAAAACTGTGTGGCTGCTAGCCGTTGTTGGTTTCACCCTGCCTGGCTTGCGCATGCCAGAAGCATCAAGCCGTAGAAGCCTTCAAGCTTAAAGGCAACGATTTGCACAATGATGTTGACCTCATGTCATGCAGCTTCGGATCGAAGGCACCCATTTGTTGAAGAGCTCGCGCGCTCTCACTTATTCGCTTCAAGCCGAACACGGGCCAATTTAGAACCATTTCCCGTCGCATCGGCAAGGGACGACTGATGGAATACCAGCGGACACAAAGCCCTGTCCAAGACCCTGCAGGATGACCTGCATGGGGCCATAGTGGGAATCCTGACGGGGAAGATTTCCAACCCATGACCTACGGCCCCTGAACGCCCAAACCTACGCTGTAGCGCCAAAACGGCCCTGAGAAGGACCCCGTGGAACCTGCGGAGATGTCCTGCGCCAACCATTTCACCGGATAGCAGCTCACGGAGGTGAAGAACTCGCAAATTGAAGCGCACAACTCCTCGAATGGTGCGCAGTCCCTACCGAACTGCCGGCTTGTCTAGGCAAAGCCTGCGACGGTTTTTGTGTGCCATCTCGCAGCTCCCAATCAACAAGACAGCGTTTCCGAAATCGGCCCAAGAGTCCGGTGAAATGAGGCCAGTGAAGATGATGATCGTGTAGCTTACAAGTTCATCGAAAGATATTGTATGATAGATGCGCCAGTGGAGATAGCAATAACCTGAGTGCAGAATGTTTAGCCAGGTCAAGGAATGAAACGCAAAGCACGCAGTTCCCAGCCTCTTTTACACTGGATCTTGGTAGGGACCATCATTACAGTTTGGGATCTGGAGTACGTGGCAAGGGGCCAAACACGGCTCCCTGAACCAACAGGATCACGGCGAAGAGATTGCACTGCAAGCTCCGACGTATTCGCCTGGCGGTGTCCTTCTCGAAGCATCGGACCTCACACCGTGGGCCGCACCGACTGTCAACACCCTAGACTTCAGAAGGCCAGAAAAGCAACCCACTGACACTGACTAACCATGACTCTCCATAAGGGATCAACTGACGTATCCGTGCCTTGTAACACACAGCCGTGCACCCCAGCGTGCCAGTGGAAATGATAGCAAAGGGCAAGGACGTACCGATGTAAGGAGCCTCGGTGACTTTTGGCTTTCCCAGTCACTCAGCCGCAAGCGTGATGCAAGCCCACGCCTTTCACGTTCTCACCTTGCGAGCAACTTTGTGGATCTTGGAGCCCAGTATGACAGCAGTCGCCAGCGTCAGGGACATGGTCTCGAACAAGTCCTTACTGCCCAAGTGCTGCCTGTGCAATGCATGGGCTGCTAAATGGCAGGAACTCTCTGAATGCAGGCTGCCGAACATAGTGGCGAAAACTTGCACGCAGGCGCGTCCGACATTGCGATGCAATGAGTCCTACACTTTTTCAGAAGCCAAGCTTCAGAAGAAGTTCCACCTGAAATGTTGCGCACAGTTCTGTCTGAAGGCAGAAGTGCATGCGTCCCAACGGGCAAAGGCCATTCCAAAAGGGCCAGCCCACTGCAACGAGGCACCCACATCGGCAATGTTCTCGCCGATCGCCTGAATTTGTCGGGCTGCATGGTTCTTGCACGGCCAACTTGTACGCAACGCGCTGCGCAAGGCGTCCGGAAATGCTTCAGAGCTGCATCCAAGTAATTTACAGGATGCATCGTCCTCAATGTTTCTGCCATCTGCTCCTCTATTTGCTTTCGGATTTCCAGCTCCTGCACGGGGACCATCAACAGCCCCCCCAAACCGACCTTCTCGTGTCCTTGGCCGTGACGTATTGGGCATCTTGCATCTCATCGACTTGAAAGTCCTTGGCTTTCGGTAAAAAGCCTTGCGAAGGTCCCGCGCTGCGTCCAAGTCTCTGGGTTGATGAGCTTTTCGGTTGCAATCGCCTTCTCGTCCTTTTCTCCGTCCTCACTGTGAACCAATCATGGTGAGACTCATTGGACATGCGAACGCAAAATTTCGTATGCGAAGTGAACTTGCAACGGGGCTCGCCACCAAGCTTTACGAGTACAACTATAAACGAGTGCACCACAGCCTTGCTCTTCCGGGCGTGCTCGATTGGTGCGCCCCCTTACGAGGGAAGTAATACTTCCGCCTTTGCGTCTCAACAGCACTTCATGGGCAGGTGAGGCTCTATCAATATAGTGCCTCCTGTGTCCACCGCTAGTGAACTGAAGGATCCCAACCAGGCGCAGCCCCCGCAACCGTAATTGCTCGACTGGGGTTATTTCCGTGCTTTTGT